TTTGTACGCTTCTGCATTACGGGATTTTTGCACATCTTGATGCAGCTCTGGTTGTCCTCGTTGATCACAGTTGGACCATCACACGTCATATCCATCTCATTGAGTAGGGATCGTAAGTAGAGGCCTTCCTGAACAGCCGCTGCCATTGCTTGATACTCAGCTTCGCTGGTAGATATTGCTGCAGTAGGTTGCTTCTTGGTACTCCAGCTGATTGCTGCTCCTGACCGCTGCACATGAAAACTGTAGCCTGTTGTTGACCTTCTGTCATCAACGTCACCAGCCCAGTCAGCATCTGCTGAACCATAAAGGTTGAACCCATCAGGATCTTTGATGTAGCACAGCTCCAGATCTTTGGTTCCTTTCAGGTATCGCAGTACTCTCTTAGCAGCCACCCAGTGTGTTCTCCCAGGATTCTCCAGAAACCGTGAAAGTTGAGTCACAGTAGCTAGGATGTCTGGCCTCGTTTGCTTGGCTATGTACAATAACGAGCCCACTATGCCTCTGTAGTCCTCACGCTGCATTGCCACTGCTTCTTCTGAGCCCGCTCCAGGGCAGTCCTTCTTCGTCAACTGATTGCTGATATCAGCTGGTGTCCCTACTGGTTTGCAGTCAGCCAACCCAAAGCGCTCCAAGCAGTCTTCAATGTAGCGAGACTGATTCACAGTGACAGAACCAGGTGCCCGTTTGACCTGCATTTTCAAAAACCAGGCTAATGGACCGCGATCATCCATCTTGAATCGGTCAGTGAATCGGTCCCTCACCCTGTCAACTTCTGCTTGCAGTTTGCAGCCAATGATGATATCATCCACCCATACTAGAACATAGATCATAGCATCATCCATTCCCCTCATCGTGAACAAACAGAAGTCATTGGTGCTTCGAGTGAAACCAGTCTCCAGAAGAAACGTGCTCAGCGTCTGGTACCAGTCCCTTCCTGCCTGCTTCAGCCCATAGATACTGCGTTGTAGCAAACACACTTGGTTGTCCCCGCTGCTGAACCCCTCGGGCTGTTCCATATACACAGTTTCTGTTAACGGCGAGTTGAGGAAGGCTGACTTCACGTCCATCTGATGAAGTACAAGATCATCTTGCGCTCCCAAAGCCAGTAGTATTCTCTTTGTTTCTGGTTTACAGGTTGGCGCAAAGGTCTCATTGAAGTCCAGTCCTTCCACTTGCATAAAACCCTTCACCACGTATCTGGCTTTAAACCGCTCCACTTGTCCCATTGCATCTCTCTTCACAGCAAGCACCCAGCGTCCAGGAATGACCTTGCGAGAATTTGGTCTATCAACAAGTGTCCAGGTGCCCATTGCCTTCAGTGACTGCACCTCCAAAGCCATAGCTGCTAGCCACTGCTCCCTTTCTGGTCCAGATACTGCTTCCAAGTAGCTTCTTGGCTCTTGTGCTATCACTGAAGCATGAGTGTAAGCCAGTCCGTATCGGATGGGAGGGTTCCGCGTTCTAGTTGACCGCTGCTCTGGAATCTCTGTTGGCCTCTGCTCTGGAGGCTCTGTGGAAGGTGGTTCCAATTCTTCAGTCTCGACTGGGTCATCTTCCGTAACCCCCACTGAAGCTGCTGCTCCACTATCATTCGCTTTATTGGTAGACTCAGTGATGGCCTTCGTGCTAGTTTCCTCTACATCAATGCATCCCTCGATTGATAGACCCAGTGTTTGTGACTGCTCACTGTCTACCAGAAAGTCGTCTGGAATGATGTCTTCATTGAACGTCACGCTTCTTGCTCGTACCACTCGCTTTGTCTCCAGGTCCATCAGCAAGTAGGCTTTGCTCTCCTCGTCATAACCAATGAACTTGCTCTTCTTGCCTTTCGGATCCAGTTTCCGCCGGTTTCCTCTGTCCAGGTAGTACGCCAGGCATCCGAACACTCGCAGGTAGTTGACTTTCGATGGCTTCCCATAATGCATCTCCATTGATGAAATGCGATGCTCATTGCTGGATGTAGGACACAAGTTGCGAACCCTGACTGCCGTTGACATTGCTCGTACCCAGAACATCTTTGAGAGCTTTGCATCGGCCAGTAGACATCGAGTCATCTCAGTTATCACCCTGTTGTACCTCTCTGCCACGCCATTCTGTTGCGGAGTATTAGGTACTGTAAACTCCTGTTTCACCTGCATTTCTCTACAGAACATCCGAAAAGCATTCGACGAATACTCACCTCCGTTGTCAGTTCTCAAGCACTTCGGTGTTCCGTGCTCAGCTACAAAGTCTTTGAACTTCGAAAGAGTATCGCTCTTCTTAACCAGGTACTTGACCACTGCCAGACGGCTGAAGTCATCAATGAAGCTCACGGCATAGCGCGCTCCATGCATGCTCGCAACTTCAAATGGTCCCTGGATGTCGCTGAAGACCCGCTGCCCCACTGCAGTTGCCCTGTTCTCTGTCTTCTTTGGCATTGCTACTTCGTGCATCTTCGAAACTGTGCACACTTCGCAGAACCCTAGCTCGCCGACATCAACAACTGATATTAGATCATGCTTGTTGAGATGCCCCAGCCTTCGGTGCCACAGCATTAGCACTACTTGTCTCCATCTTCGCTTTCGTAGCTAGAGTCATCGCGTTCCTCTTGAACTTGCACTCCAGGAAGAAAAGCTTGCCGCGCTGCTTCACTGGTAGCCGTCGACCATCCGGTGCCACAAGATGAGAAGAGTCTGATGTAAAGCTGAAACTAGACCCTCTAGCTATTGCTGAGCTCACACTCATCAGATTCACGTTGTAGCTCGGCACAAACAGCACATTGTGGAAAGTGTAGCTCCTCGTCACATCTTGACAGTCTCGTATGTCCACTTCCACCGAGCCTATGCCCTCAATCTTTGATATTGTACCGTTCGGATTCTCAACTGTTGTCCCCTCATCCCATTTCTCAAAGCTTGAGAAGACAGCCTTGTCGCGCACTACATGATCGGTGCATCCCGTATCCACAATGAGATCATCTCCCTTCATTGAGGTTGTTGCACAACAACTGAAGAACCCTGTCTTTGCCTGCTTGCAGTCCCTTGCAAAGTGTCCTTGTTGTCCACACTTGAAGCACCCTTGCTTCCTTGAAGTTGGACCACTTGCTTCATTCGAGCCACTGCCTCGAGCACCAGATTGACCACTGTCACTTCTGGATCTGCAATCTCTTGCCAAATGACCCTTCTGACCGCACACAAAACAGCCACCACCCGACGCTCCTTTCTTCTTCCTCACAGCTTGCATAGCTATGTGTCCATTCCCAGTCTTCTCTCCACATCGAGCTCGTCTCGAGTCATCATAGTTCCTCAACCTCGTTCTCAGCTCTGTAAAAGTCTTGGCCGGCTGGAAGCTCTCCTGCACCACGAAATGCTCAAAGCTGTCAGGCAGTCCGTTGATCACGAGCGCATTGAAGAGTGTGTCCGTAATTGCTTCCCCAGCTTCACTCAGCCGCGTCATCAGCTCTTGACTTCGAACGAAGTAGTCATCGAGATCCTCCTCTGATCCTAGGCGCAGCTTCGCAAGCTGGCCTACTAGACTGACCACTGTAGGCCTCTCCACACTGCAAAACTTCTCTTGCAGCAGTCTCCAGGCCTTCGTCCCATCGCCATAGCCATCCGCAGCCACGCAGTCGTTCTTGATGTACATCAGTGTGGTGTTGTTCAGGACCAGAGCTAGATGTGACCACACTGTGTTTCGGTTGTCTTTCCTCTGCTGGATCAGCACAGCTCGCTCCTGCATCTTGGTGTTGTACGCCGTCATCTGGTCAGCATTCGGATTCTCAGGTAGCGTAGGTTCAGCTTCTGGTAGATCGTCATTGCCCATCACAGTCCTGAACAGGCCTTTGGTATGCATCAGTGCCACAAACTTCGTCGACCAAGCTGGAAAATCTTCAGACTTTCCACTGAATCCAGCCAGTTTCAAGTCCATCTCTGCTTTGCTAAAGGCTAGATAAAAGCTAAAAAAAACTCTGACAGAAATCAAATAATTATTAAATCAAAAAGTTTAGAAATCTGGGCCCATAACCTGTTAAGATTCAGAGTTAGAGCAAGTAGGACTAGGGGATAGAGGTTTGAGAGTTATCTGAGGTTTCAACTGAGGAGAGAGAAGAGATACTGATTGTTGAAGAATGAATTGAGATTGTGTTTATAAAAATGACACGACAAACTGAGCATCAAATAGTACCAGTTAATTAATTACCAGTTAATTAATTAGTTTATCAAATACCAGCAGACCAGTTGACCTTGTCTGAGTGCATTGAGTTTTATACCAGTTGACCTTTAATTAGGTTTCTATTGCTCAAGTCTGACCTTGAGTTTGGTCTGGTATTTCACTAGTCTGGCATTGAGCTCGTCTGTCCTCAACACAACTTGCACAGCAACCGGGTAACCTTATTAGGAGAGTTTATGCAAATAATTCTAACCAATTTTTCCGCAAAGCCAATTAACTACAAAGGCACACTTCTGCTAGCCTTGCAAAAAACTCACAAGAACGAAACAGCTTTGCAAAAAACTCAGAAAACAGTTTGCACAAAACTTATAACAAAACAGTTTTGCACGAGTTTGCACAGAAACTCAAAAACCAGTATGCACAAAACTTGAAACAAAACACCTTGCAAAAAACTCAAAAGTTAGCAAAACTTTGCAGTTGCAAGCTTGTAACGGAAAGACGAACATTCGGTCATAAAAATTAATTAACGTTTGATCTTTATTGGAGCCATTTTGTTCAGCTGATTTTATTCTATTTTTTCAAAATTTGGCATCTATTTTTTTTTATTTACAGTTGCTCAATTATTCATTCGCTTGTTTTGTTTCTGTTGAAAATAGGGAACCACAAATTGATGTCTTTTGTGAAAAAGAACTGAGCAAAATGATGTTTTGTTGGTAAGAACCAAAGGGAACTCTTTTTATTAATTAATTAGCTGTGAAGTTCTTTTTCATTTCTGTGTTTCTTAGGCGCTGAAAAGATTAAAGCGGAAACAACAAAAAAAACAACACCAAATGAAGACTGTTTATTTTTCGTTTTAGATGTTCAAGGAGCATTAGAAGGAGATTTCTGGTTTAGTGGTGAGGCAAAATGGAACAAATCAAGAGTTCCAATAAAATCTGTGAGTATAATTACACGTTTTAAGTTGCGAGGCTTGATACCCACTTTTACCCTGAGCAAAGCATTACAAAAAACAAGTATTGCCCCCTCCCCCCCCCCCACGCGGCACTTCGGATACAAAGCAGTTTTATAATGTAACGAGGTGCAACATGGAGTTGTTTTCAATGCGACTTATGAAGAATAAATGTCTTCAAAATAGCTCAATTAGTCAGCTAAATTTCATAATAATCGGCCGCTGTTTAGAAAATTATTCAAATAAAAGTTGGGATGTGGAGGGAGGGGGGTAGGCGTGTAATTATTTGGTTGCAGTCGAAGACGCGCAGAAGCTTCCAATCTGAATTAAAACAGGTCTTTAAAAAACTTGTTTTCTTAGTCAATTCATTTTAACTTATATCGACTTATATTTTAGATAGCCTATTGTTAACATGTGATTTTTCTTGGATAGTTTATTGATATTGTGTGATTTTGAAAAACTGACCAGAAATCAGTAAAAATCATAATCTGGAGCAAAATTAATTTTGGTTTAACACAGTGTAGACATGTGATTTATAACTAAGTCCCTGAAAAACAGAATAAAATTCTGGTCATAAAAGTTGACCAAAATTAGGAAAACTGCAAGTAGTTTGACTTTCCTATACTTTATAAGCATTAAATAGCAGACAAATAGATGAAAAAATGTTTCTCTGGTCATATATTTTTGTATTCTGATAAAATCATTTGAGTTTTGAGCTTACAAAAAAAGGTCGACAAAATTCTTTTGAAACATTTACTTAACTTTATTTCCATTTAAACCCATTAAATAACTTTTTCTGTAACCTCAATCTTGACTAAAAAAACTGCACCGAGTGGACAAGTTGACTGATTTTAGTTATTCTTTTGAAGTTTTCAAGTGTGCTCGGCTGTCGTTCGGTCTGCTTAATACAATCAATTCCTGGTAAGACGGCTTTCAATCGGCCGTTGGTTGTTAAACGTTCAATGATGGACTGCGGTTTGACTATGAATAAGGGTCGCTCGCTCTATAATAGCTAGTTATATTAAGGAGTGGGGTGTATAATGAGAGCTCTGAAACTTCCGAGTGCTTTTTGATTTCTTTGAAGTGTAAATAGAGCAAGACTGCTCGTATCAAGGCGAAACCCTGAATGTTCCGACAGCCTTGGTAAGGTCTATTGAGCAGTAATAATATAAAACAAATTAAATGGTAATAAAATACCACTAAACTTTTTTAAAATTGAAAATTTTTGTAAAAACAATCCCCCATACGCCATATTAAGTACAAAGTGATAAATTTTGCTCCCTTTAACATATCAATTTGGCATATAAGCTTCCTTCAACCAATTTGGAACTAATTTCGCGCGTTAATTATCCCAAAATGGCCAAAACGACAATCTTTAAACCCCCATAACTTTGAAAAAAATGATCACAGGTAAAATATCCTTTCAAATTTAAGCTGAAGACAACAACAACTTTCAAATCATCTAAAAAAAATTTGTCAAAAAGGGCTAGTTAAAAAGTCAAAATTTGTCTGAAGAAAAAAACCCACCCCGAGCACAAATATTCCGTTACTTTCGTTTCGAAACTTGGAACAAAAATTGAGTTTTTTAATACCATTCCCCACTTGCAATGAAAATGAAAATGATTTGCTTTCCATATTGCAAAGTTTTGAAGTTTTCAGATAATAAGCCTCAGTCTACTTTGGAAAAAATTCTCAGAGGGATTAAATCTCCGCCTACAAATATATATTGCGAAATACATCGCTAGTTAGCTGCCCCATATTAGCCAAATTAACAACCTTTAAACCCCCATAAGTTCACAAAAAGTTTCAAATTTGAGCTCAGGACAATAATGTCTTTGAAATGATAAAAAAAGTTTTGTCAAAAATGCTGGTTAAAAAATCGAATTTTTGTGGATTATATTTTGTGGTTTATTTAAAATATTTGCTATAATTTTGTCTTTGAAAATGAAATGTTTCTATTTGTTTGCTTTCTTCAGACTTCTTCGTTTTTACTGACATATATTTTTCAGTTTTGAAAAAAACTGATGATTTTAAGGAGCTAAATATGCTATGCTTTGATAAAGGTGTTGTGAGCATCAAAAGAATCTTCTTTGCTTTAGGAGCTAAATATGCTATGCGTTGATAAAGGTATCGTAAATAGCAAAACAATCTTCTTTTTTTAAATCTCTTTAGTGATTTGGAATTGGGATAGAAGAAAGGATTACATGGCCTACTTCTTTCTTTGCAGCAAATTGAAATTTCGTGTAAAAATGTTTCTAATCAAGTGAATCAAATTTTTTGAAAAAATAATACCGCTAAATTGAGTAAGAATAAACATTATGTCTGCTTTGCTAATATTCTGTTTTTCTACCAGCTTGTTTTCGGCGAGGTTTAAAGTTTTAAGATTTTGTTTCTTCTCCAAAATATAAACTTATTTTTTTAAGGAGCCAAATCATATTTATTTGAAAAAAGTCCTTTCTTTGGATTCATTGCAGAGAATATTCAGTCCTGAAACTTTGATAAAAATTACCCACTGAAGAGGGTCAATATATTCAAAATTCAAGTTGGTAAAAAATTTAGCTTGTCAAAGAGTTTACATTTTTTTCGTCTAGTTGCTTTTTTGCTCTTTTCCAATGCTTCCCCACATTTCAAATTTTCCATTTTCTAAGTTGTCGTTATTTTTTATGGCTAATTGCGTGATGTTATGATGTAAAGTATGAAGAGCAATTGTGTTCACAATAGTTCAGTTGATTATCATGAAAATGTTCATATTATTATGGCAACAGTAAAATATTTTTTTTCAAAAAGTGAAGTTAAAATATGAGTATGACGGGGGTGAAAAAGTCTTTTTTCATTACATAAATAATTTTTTATGAACGAAGCTATTTTTTTTCAAAGAAATGTTTTTTTGAGCTGAGCTTGCACAAACAATCTCAAATTTTGAAGCAAAAAACCAGTGTTCTTATGATTTTTTTATGTGGTTCATTTACACTATCCGATCTGTCTCGGATGCAGATTATTCCAGCCGTCCACTACTTTAAGAATTAAGGAGAGAGATAAACATTTTTTTTCCTTTTTAAAATCAACTAAAAACAAGAAAGTTGTTTGACTTTCATCTGCAGCAAATCACCTGTGCTTCTGTTTGAGTTGCGACCATCTTCTTTAAACTTTAATAAGCACGTGTTCAAATCAATTTGGACATTCAGCTTCTCTTATTTGTTGGTGCGGAAAAAGTAAACAAAAATTCTCAAAAGAAGCTTTGATATAATATTAGACTTCATGTTTTTTACCAATTGCCGTAGGCTCGTAAGAAATTGATGAGCTGAAAATGTTGTGAATGAGAAAAGTAATTAAAAACGACATGCAGTTCTTTACAAAAATTATCGAAATTAATTCAAATTTGCAGCACAACTGATGCTATTTGCAACATATTGACGAATAGTTCCAAGCCCAAAACAGAGTAAAATTTAAGAAAATTCAGCCCATTGGTAAAGTAAACTTTGGAAGCTAGCAAATTTAAGATGTTTTATCCTAGATAATAATTCAAAAGTAGAAATCAAATATTTGGCAAACTTTTATGAAATTATTCAAAGCCAAACGCAAATCAGCTTATCAAAATCTTATTCTAACATTTTGCGTTTTTATCGACCCTGTATAAACGCAGCTGCTGTTTTAGCCCTCAAGTGCAAAGAGGTTTTTTGACGGTTACTTTTGGGCGCCTTGAATATAAATAAACTCGCGGTAATTCTATATGTAAAGCAATTAGCATGGCAATTTTATCGGCTTTGGAGACCTATATCTTTTTTTCATAAGACCACACTAAGAACGCTATATGGCTTGTTCTGTCGTCATTTTTGACTTCTGGGAGCCAAAGTTTCTTCCCTAAAATGGGTTAGATTGATGCTTTATTTCCTTTGTCTAATTAATTGTTGCCTCGCTTCCGAAAAACTTTGCGTGTCTGTATAACGCTAAAAAGAATTTTATTTAATGTTTATCACAGGGATAACAATTGCATATCTGTCAGAATTAAATTGATTTTACAGTTTTTGCGCCATATAAAAAACGTGAAAAGAGTTTCCTTCAGCTAGTGAATTGGTAAAGTGACGTGATTAAATTTAATATTCAGCGCCCACTTCGAAAAATGTCAGCTGCTAATTAAAACTGGCATTTCGGCTAGTTATTCATTCAAGCTCACAGCTTGTCATAAATTCTGAGAATGAATCTAAAGCAGAGAGAAAAACGCGGGATATCAAATCTGACCATTAATGTAATCAGGGGCAGCTCTAGAGTATTCTCGAGGGAGTGGAGGGCAAATTTCAAAAAAAATGAACTTTTGTCGTCATTTTTTTAAGTTGCTTAAATTGGTTTTCAGAGGTCTTCCAAAACAATAATCCTATATTGCCAAAATTTTATGGATCTCAAACTAATTTTGCTATTATATGAAACTAAAAAATATAGTTTATAGCGTCCATGAAACCAATATAATAGCAAACTAATTTGTAAATTACAAGAGAATTGAAATGATAGTTTATTTACAGCTGATTTTTGATCCGCTAAATTGTAAGTTTTGCATCATGCATGAGCTTTGCCTGAGATCTCTCAAATTGGTGGGAAATAACAGTAGCTAATTCATAACTCCTTTCCTTTACTTAAGTGGACTTGGACGGAACAACAACAAAGAATATCAGTCGACAAGTACACCTCAAGATAAACAACAGGACTCCTTGTACCAGGAGAAAGTCCTGAATGATACGACTTGACTGTCTTTTAAGTTCTATGAAGCAGTTCTACATGTTCGCTTAAGCAAATTGATAAAAAAAACGAATTTTTCCAAAATCTAAAAAAATTATCCCCACTATATAGAGTGCAAAAAGCAAATTTCGGATATAGCAATGTTTTTTGTAGTCCACATATCATGCCTTACAATTTAGAACAACTTTTAGGAGGCATAAAAAATCCGCTTGGGGTTAATAGCAAATTAGCCAAATTTTCCCAAATTGGCCAAATTA